ATGTAATACAAAGCTAATCTGTTATACAGATAGTGCAAAATAAAGATCTAAACTAAAAGAGATCTAAAGAAAGATAACCTAATCAAAATTGTTACATGAAAAATATAAGTTATCTAGCTATTTCAGATAGTGATGAGAGCTGCAACTAGCTGTAACTCTGTCACAATTCTCTAATAGCTGCTGCAACTCTGTCATAATTCTCTGATTAGCTACTGCAAGCTGTAACTAGAGGAGTCATCTTTAATCTCAAATAATAAAACTTTAAAAGCAAAGATTTTATTTGAATTTTATAATATACTAATTACAGAATATATTAGAATAAATAAAATATATATAGCAATATCTCAATAATTTTATTAATCAAAAATAAATAAAAGTATTTACAAATATATTACCAATTGTAAATTATATCAGTATAACAAATCTAGTAATCAATAGATTCAGGATTACTATAGTCACTTGTCATTTCAGAATATAAATAAAAATATATTATTATGAATTTCATAATTCAACTTTTAATTAATAATTATATTTATAAATAAGTTATCTAAAAGAATATACTTTGTATTAACTACAATAATAGTAACTGTATCTGATATTATAAAAATATTCTTTGAAAATATAGTATAAATTAATATAAAAAAATTTATATATTATTATTAATATAATTTAATATTTTAATATTGTTAAAATTATAAAAATATATTAGTATCTTTTATTAATTTAAAAATTAATAAAATTTAAGTATAATAATGATATTAATAATCTTTTATCACAACAATATAATTATTTATTTTTTAATTTAATATATATTATTAATATTAATTATTAGTATATTTCATAAATATTATTTTCTTATAAGTATTTGTAAAGCTATTATATATCTGAAATTATACTGCTATTAAAAGAATTGAAAGCAATATATATTATATATTATTGAAATAATAATAAAATATGAATATTCTTCTCTGAAAAGAAAGATTAAATGATACCTGTAATAATAAGAATAAAAACTCTTTATAATCATATATATATATATATATATATATTATATGAATATTCTTATTTTATCTTGATAAACCATAATACAAATATTTTTTTTAAGACTTTTGTTTCAATACAAGATATCGTTAATCTATTCTTATGACTCATTATCAATTCACGTGCATAATTAATTTTGAACATTCTTCCGTTTACTTTATTATTGTTGTTTCCATTTTGGAAAAAATTAGCTCGCTCAGTTATTTGAATAGATAAATGAAGAACACGTGCACAGATATTTTATTTAAGTAATATAGTAACTTTTTGAAATGATAATATGCCACGAGAAAAAATTGTCTTGCTTTATGTTTTCATTATTTATTAGTCAACTCACCCTAAATGCAACCTCCATAACGCAAATTTTCTCTAAATGTTATCCGCTTTGTTAGCCCCACACTTATAAAACCTCTAATTATTATACTTTCTATAAATACCATCTCTCTTTAAATGCATGCTAGTCATATGGTCTTGACGAAATTACGTTTAGAGAGTTAACTGTATGAATCAATGATCAAGTACATGTAAAAATTCTGATTTGTAGCATAAGGATGGAATCTGCCGAAAGGCATTATATATCGTATATCTCCGAGGTTGCCACTGTATCTAACGAAATTTACCGAAACCTTTATATCGTAAAATCCCGAGGTTGTAACAAAAAATTCTTATTTATTGTATACTTACGGTGTATGCAATATCATTTGTACACGTTTCCCGATATATCGGTATAAAGAGCACGTGGAGACACATGACGTAAGCATTGATTTATCATCAATGCATGCGTCATCAACTTTCCAACATTTAACGTTCCTTTTACGCTAAAGAAAGTAGCAACAAAAGATTTTTGTTGGTGTTGAGGACATATATATTCTTGTACGAATATATAAACTCCAATAGTGCCTTGAATACATAAAACAAACATATGTAGTATCCGATCCGATGCAATGTTTATAGTATTGAGGGGGTATTTTACTTTGTGTATATTTGTGTGCTTTACTGCGTGAATAATTTTTTTTCAAAGTGTTAAAATTGCGTAATGGAATAATAATAGTTATCAAGGCCCAACAGTAAACTCAAATAAGTGGTGCGTAAAAAAATACGATTACCTAATAAAAGGTTGAATTTTCGTCTATAAATTAGAGGTGGAAAGTTAGCGAAAGAAAAAATTTTGTTACAAGATTCGATGATAATTTAACTCGGCTTCGTTGTCGTGTACTTGTGTGTGTTTGCAATTGAATTATCCATCAATTCTTTCTTTAAGTTTAATTTAAATATGGAACAAAATAAAGCAGAGCAAGATAGCATTACTTCGATCAATCCAAATGCTCCAATTACTCCGACGATTATCCAAGAAAGCAGCACTTTTGAGAATAATAATCCAAAAAATCCTATAGAAAGTCCTCTAAGAATTATCCAATTGCATGAAAATACGTCAATGTCACCAATGACACAAATAACTCCAATTTCAATGAACACTAAGGAAATAACTATGGCATCAACACAAATAACACCTATTTCAATGGACACTGGGGAAATAACTACAAGAACAACAACAGCCGCTTTCATTCCGTCTACTTCGATAGCCGAAATTTCGCAGCAGCAAGAGCTGCCACAGTCAAACACGCACGAATATTACCGATCAATCCGTCGACAACGAATCGATGTTATCCTTCATGAATTTGAGAATCTTGCTACAATGATAGATGGCGCTGCTGCTAATCATGTAGTCATGTGCCAAAAATACGAGCAAATACATTCGCTTTGGGTATATGTTCATCCTGATTTCGATCCGAATGAACTAACTTTGCAAGAAGCAGCAATCTGGCGTTTGATTCCTGAATTACTTCTTCGCTACAAGCTTTTTTTAATTCGTCGTCGTGAACAAATGGATCTACAAAATTTCAATATGGATGATCGTGTTCAATACGCAATTCCTAAAAGAGGCAAAAATGATATCGAAAAATTGCAAACAATTTTTCAAGATTTTATAAAGAAATTGAAATTATGTGGGCAAACAAAATCGAATGAAAACATCTCTGCTGTAATCCCGCCTTTAAAAAAAGTAGACCAATTGAAAACGTTGAACGATGATGAATTGAAGCAAGAATGTAAAGAATTGTTACGGATTTTTCGATCCATAAGAAATGCAATCTTTGCTGGCGAGATGTCTATTTTTAACCAGTACGCGAGAAAGGAAACGATGGAGAGCGGAATTTAAGAAGCTTCGAAGAAAAGTCGAGTATTATCCGGAGAAAATACACCCACATTTGAAAAATAAAATAGCGATAGATTTTCTCTGATTTTGTTTAATTTGTTGCATCATTCAAAAAAATCGAACAATGAAAATAAATGTACGCACATGTACATGTATTAAGGGGTGGCGCTTACCGAAACGAATTATTAATCATTTTAATGTACTAATTTGGCGCGAGTTATGCGTATATTTCTAATACATGTGCAACAATTCAATTTTTTTACTGTTATATCACATCACATGTAATTGTTAAGTTTATGAAATAAGTACAGTGAGGGTAAGGTTAATCATATATTAAGATAGTGTTTATCGTTATAGAGAACGAATAAGATCAAACAGCTTCATTGAATAAAGGACTTTAGAAATTATAATATTGTTGACATTCAACATAATTTTACTCATTATTATTCTTAATCAAAAGATAAAGAAATGGTTTAACATCAATTATTATTTTAGTTAAGTAAAAATCTATGTATACCTCTATAAATATAACGAACAAAAGCATTTGATTTCTTTCTGATTGTATTCTTGATACTTGGATGTAGATGTTCATGTAACCACCGTATTACAAAAAACATAACGTAACATGTACATGTACATAAAAAATAAAACAAAATCAAAGCACCTTATTATAGATTAATGAATTCTTCATAAAACCTAAGGCTAAAATGCGCAAAATTAGAACTTACGATCTACGGTAATCAGCAAATAAAAAATAATGATATACAAATATAACGAAGAAATTTTATCTAAAAGCACCCTCACAATTCGACAAAATGTTAGTTGGTTTTGATTGATTGCTATTATCTTCTTTTCTCTTTCTTATTAAATTTTCGGAAGCAGTAATGGGCCTAATCTTTAAATTAATATCGACACGTGCATCCAGTGGTGCACGCCAATTCTCAAAATGTTCTTGTAATCCTGCATTTCGACTTCCGTATAATGGTGAATCATGATTATGTAAATTTTGCTCGACGGTTGTCATCACAGTGTACATTAGTTTCGGAAGAATTTCTGGGTCTGAAGTGTTACAACACGCTTCTACGGCTGTTCGTAGTGCCTGTATTAAGACGTCATTTTGCAATTCGCTGTGCCTTACTATTGCGTGAATAGATTGATGTTCTTGTGATTGTAGTTGTGAGGAACGTGAAGTAATTGAGGAGGTCAAATTTTCGGGTCTCGAATCAGCAAAAGACGATGAAATATTTGGTGCCATTTTCAATATTGATGATTCAATGGAATTCTTTATTAGATAACTGCTTTGGGACTCGGTGTATATAACAAAAGTTAGCTGAAAAATATGTTGTTATCTGTGTTTGTGCGAATGCTAAAAATTTGTTGTTTGGATTTTATTGTTTGCTCGTTCATCTCTCATTTTATATAAATGTTTTCTTATTATCTAAGTAATTGTCTTTTATTGCACATAAAACTTTTACTTGTTATCAATAAAAAGGAAGTATGTTGATAGAATCGTACTGTACTATTCTGATTAAATAATACATAGCGATAGACAATATAATAAATGTATTATTTTTTATATTCATCGGGCGGTGTACGTGTAATACAATTAAACAAAACGCTGACGCTAATCTACGCTACGTGTTTAATTAAATCTATTCATTGAGTTCCTTTTTTGGCAAGAAATCTTATGAAAATTATGTTTTGATTCTTTCCGTCCGTCTCTTATCATTCGAAAAACCTAAAAATTTTTATTCTTCAATCAGATGACTACCAACTACGCCAATAAATGCATGTCCTATTCTATCAACTCTTCTTTGTTGATTGATGACTGGGAACATTTCAATAATCAAAACAAAGCTATTCAAAAATTGACTTGCACAACATGAATTTTTCGCCTTTGTTGACCTGCGACAATCTCCATGTTGATGGTTCTCCGAAAAATAATTGAAGAATTCCCATTCATTGACTTTTTTGTAATTTGAGATTACACGCGCATTATTGTAATTATTACTGTATACAATAATTATTATCATGGTGCGTGTAGAACATTCGACGACGCGACGATTCCACATTTTATAATCCTCACCCGTGTTTTCTTATGAATTACTCGAGTTCCAAAACAACGATTTAGTCGATATTTCTTTATCATCAAGACACATTCGTTCCTAATATTGTTAAGTTTATTCTCATTCAGAGAAAATGATGGTAAAATCAAGGGATACAAATGTTACATGAAGTGAAGCGAATGTTTTGAATTGTACTTAAATCTCTTTATACATTTTATTTTTAATATTTCTTATACATGTACAAAGAGGCTTTTTTTATAAGAATACCTCTACATGAGAGTCCCAATTTTCTGGTCCAACCACGTTCTTATAAAAGTTTCAACTGTAATCTCGACAAATAAACAATATGCATTCAATAAAAAATATTCTATGCAAACATTACAGTGAAATTATGACGTATAATATTGTTTAATAGCGTATTTTTCGAAAATTACATTTTTAGTATAAAATATGCGCGAAATGGGTCTGGTCGACAAACACGTTCATAAGCCCAACAAACGAAATCTGAAAGAACGGCATCCCGAATGATCGAACGCCCGAATTCGGTAACGGTCGACATCCTGAATCACGAAATCCCGAACGTTCATAAGCCCGAAAGATCGACATCCGAAATCACGAAATCCCGAATGAACAACAATCCAAATGTACGAAATCCCGAAAGTATAGTACTTGTATCGCAAAATGCATGAAATACTAAAATTATCACGGGATGTCGTTCATTCGATCTTTCGGGATTTCGTAACAAACCCCCCAAATTATCGAAATCCCGAATGCATGAATTTCCCGAAATTGTGATATTTTTAGTATTTCATGCTCGTTTTTTCAGGATTTCGTTTGTCGGTTACCAGCATGAAATATTAAGAACGTCGTAAATTATGATATATTGTAAAGTCTATAAATTACGTGATAATTGCATAACACATGTAGATGTATATTCAAACCAGGCAGACAATGGAATTAACAGGAGTTATGCTACTACGGTAGAAATGCCAATTTGTATCTGTTTAGTGTTAGTTCCAAACTTAAAAATTCTGATTTAAAAATGCAAGGCTTCACAAGTAAAGGAAGAGCCATTTTACTGTGTTTTTCTTGAAATGATAACGATAGTCAATTCCATTTTTCTATCGAGATCATTTATTTTTATGTTAATACATGTGTACCTTAATTTTAAATTCCACAGTGCATACAAGCTAAAGGACAGCCATAAAATTTTAATTCTCTTTTATCTCTATTCAAACAATTTTTCCAAATTCAAAATATAAAGAGTTATAGATATTCAAAGTTTAGCACGTGTAACAATAGTGATAGTATTAGAATTGAACATCACAAGATATTACTAATCATTGGTGTAAGCATTAGATTACATATCAGAAATTTCGGATTACATGTATATCAATTTTGAACACTATAAAAAAGTTGCCTATGAATTCGATATACGAAAAGGTTTATGTTGACACTTTTTACGTGTTGTTTACGGACGTGAATTGAGTATGCGTTTACATGCGATTTACGTGTTTATACAAGTATAGTATTTATCAACTTTTTGTATATTTCAGATATTAGGCATAACAACAGACTTTAAAAGATTTTACTGTGTAAATAACTACCCGTTCCTCTCTACAAAATCATTTCAAAGAAATGAACATTATTAGTTCGAAAACAATTAAATGTAATTCTTCTGCACACTCAAAAGAATTGCTGGAAATGTTACTAATATAAGCATCACGACAAGAATATTATGCATATAACACTAAAGATATATAAAATAATTGATTTTAAATAATTGATTTTAAAAATTAAGTTAACCCACGTATGTTTTTAAAGACTAATGTTATCTCCAAAGGTTAATTTCTGTGATCATAATTATCTTCAAACCTCGATATAATGAGATCGCGCGTTATACGGAATCGCTTAATAACAAAGTTTTCTCTTTTTATCAATTAGAAACTAGGCCATTCTCGATAAAATGTCATTTGCTTGGTCCCGAGACCCCTGTTAGTTATATCTTCACATTATTTGAAATTTCTAAGGTAGGTAATGTTTGAATACGTGAATAAAATCTCTGGGTATTAGTCTAAATTTTTTGTTCTTTATAAATTCAGTCGTGCTTAACCTTCTAAATTCTTGGTCGATAAGAAAAAAAGGTTACACAAATAGTGGTATACCTAATTAGACGCAGTTAACTATTTATAGTTAAGTTAAATGTACATGTATTTCTGTTACAATGAACTTGTGCGACATAACTCGACATACACATCTTAATACGTAGTAGTTGTACATGTACATTCCCCAAATTCTCTCATACAGAATGGCATCAACACTCGCATCCTTATGTCTTCAAGCAATATTTGAAAACTTTTCCACATCAAATGAGGAAACAGAAGGAGAATATACATCGTTCAGAGACTACGAAAAAAAAGCTAGCAACCAAATTCATAACAATAAAATATACGCCAATCGACGTCAATTACTCTATTTTGCGCTGGTAAATCGTCATTGGTGTGATAATGCAATCCCGTATTTATGGAAACGTCCATTTCCTTTATTATCGGGAATATCATTTATCTCAACACTTTTGAGATGCTTTGAAATTGACAAACATCCCAGACCATTATTTCAGTATAATTTATTTATCAAACAATTGTCGTTGGAATCTTTTATGGAAGCTATTGTTCGATGGTCGAAATCAAGTCAACAACGAAAATCAGGAAAGGTTCCGATTCCCATCATGTTACAATCCCTTTTTCATAATTTGATTGATAGTAAAACAAATTTTTATCTTGAACTTGAGTATGAGGACAATATAGTTTCATCTCTATATGAATACAAGAATTGGAGTATCTTTCAAATACCGAACGCCAAAGAATCATTACGACAATTACGTTATCTAAAAATTTCTAGTGCTCAAGACATGCGGCTGCTCGAATCCGCATCAAAAATATGTCCCGATCTTTCAGTCCTCGCCATCATTTCCGACAATTTAATTAACAGAGAACATTCACAGCAATGCGAACTTTTCGCTTGTCTTAACTCTTTTAAGCATTTAAAATTTCTTAGACTTGATTGCGGACAATACGCTTCACGTTCTTATTGCGACAATTTTATAATTGAACTTGCAAGAAAATTACCTAAAACACTGGACACTCTCATTATCGAAGGGGACTTGAAAATTTCAACACATGCTTTGAGGCAATTCTTACATCGATCCAAAGGAACACGTTACAAACTATTAGGATTCCCGCATTCTAGATGCATTTCTGATGCGCATTTAGATATTGTCTTGGAGGCACTTAATTCGTACACAGACATCTCCATTCAAAGGCTTAATGTTTCCAATGGAATTTTGTCACAAAATCAAGTGTGGAAATTTAAAAATCTGGGAATTGAACTCATCTCGTAAGGTAATTTCGTTGATTCATTGATCATCCTAATTTTGAGCTCTTTTTCCATTCGCTGTTCATCAATACGATTTTACCTTTTCAGATCATTCGATTGAATTAAAAAAAAAAAAAACGTTATCGAAAGTCATATAACAATGAATGAACATTACTGATTATTAGTATATAAGTTATTCAACATCGAAAATTATCCAAAAAATGTTTATATCGAAAATTATCAAAAAAAGTTGATTCACAAAATCAGATATTAAAGGCAATTTATATCTCTCAATTATCGTGTGAAAGTAAATTGTACATATTATCGTTATTGTTACAGCAACGTAATCAAAATATTTATGAATTCGTACATGTATAATGATTTCTTCTCGTTACGTGGCAAAATAAAATTATTGCATAGAGTAAATTTTAGTTGTCAACGAGTTTGTGATCAATTAATATATCTAACACTGTATACGATCCGAAATATTCTTTAGAGGAGCTTGTTTTCAATATTTCTATACTTAATCATTAACTTTCTGTAGTTTCGAAACACGAAAATCAAAACTTCGTTCAGGAAAAAAGTGTTCAATGAGAAATCTTTATTTGAGTGTGGACAAATGTTGTTGTTTTACTGAATTACGTATAAATAAACAAATAAACAAATAAATATTAATAAGTTATATTGTATTCTATTTAATACTATACATTGAATGTTCTAAAATTTTCGTCTTGGCGACAGAAACAGAAATATCTAATGTCAAAAAAAAATCGAAAACTTTAAAATATCGATATATTTGAAAATGATTCGAGTTCGAGTGCATTGAATCTTATCTGCTCCCATTCTACTTCATCCCATAAACTATCCACTTTTACTTCGATTCCATGCTTTCTTAAATTTTCCACATTATTTCTCGTTAAAAATCTCGCTTCAGAAAGATCAAGTTTCTGAACACCAATGTTCAACTGTGGATCTTGAACTGCTTCCAAAATGACTTCCATATGTTCATCAGAAAAACATTCTGAATGTGGGAATCCCAAAAATTTGAAATATATCTCTCTAGCACCGTGTAAGAATCGTTTCAACGAATCCACTGAAAAGTTTAAATCTCCATCGATGATCAGAAATTCCAACGTTTTCGGTAACTTTTTACCAAGCTCGGTTAAAAATTCGTTTCCGTGAATGGTTGATGTGTATTGTCCACAATCGAGTTTTAGTGATTTCAGATTTTTAAAAACGTCAAAATATGAGAGTAGTTTGCGATATTGTGGATATTCTCTGGAAATACTGCTTAACCAGGTCGACGAGAAAGAATTTATTTCGAGAGAGGAAAGATTGGGACAGATCTTGGTAGCAGATTCTAAAAGTTGAACGTCTCCATTGGTCGAGATTTTTAAGTGACGCAATTGACCGAGTGAAGTCTTTGCATTTGGCAGCTGAAAAATATTCCGCTCATTCTCAGAAAATTCGTATTTATACAATAAACTGACTTTGTCATACTCATAATCAAGCTCGAATAAAATCGTCGTTGAACTATCAATCAAATTATGGCAGAGAGATTTCCATATATCAGGAATTATTGGTAATTTCATCGAAATTGCATCTCCACTATCTTTTCCCCAGTTTCGTTGTTGATTCTCATGCCATTTTAATTTTAACCATTGCACGATAGCACCGAATAAAGATTCCAAAGACAATTGTTTAAGAAATAAATTATATCGAAACAATGGTCTTGATTCATTCTCATCAAAACAACTCAAAAGTGTAGCAACAAACGATGCACCCGATGATAAAGGAAACGGTCGTTTCCATAATACCGGGATCGCGTTATAACACCAATGACGATTCACAAGAGCGCAATAAAATAATTGACGTCTGTTATTGTAGATTTCGTCTTCGTAATTGTAATGATTGGAACTGGTATCGAGCGTTAAATTTTTGGCCTTTAACATGCTCTTGAATCCTTGCTTGGAATCGGTGTTGAGAGTCTCTGCTTCCACAGTGGAAAAGTTTTTGAATATTTCGTGTAGACATAAGGCGGCTAAAGTTGATGCCATCTCTCTCCGTCTTGTTACAATAATCAGAATGGTGGATTGCCGTTACGTATTTGTATTAATTGTTACATGTAAATAGGAGCTGCAGTACAGTCTATCCATGTTTTTTGGGCGTACTATCGATCGCTATTCTATAATTATTATGCATATCGATACATGTATTAGGGTGAGAAAATTCACATGATAAGGGAACAAAGAATACATGCATAGTATCGACGAAGTACGTTGTATTAAAGAGTGAGCTAAAAAGGAAGTCATCAAAGCCATTATCGATAGATTGGATAGATTTAGAAAAAAGCCGCTGATACATCTATATTTGATTAATATCGCCGCCGCTTAAAAATGAATAAAAAAAATTAACGTCAATTAATAACGATAACGATGTCACTTTCATCTGTTCCTACATTTAGAGGTTTTCAACGTGAAAAATTACCCGGATTTTTCGAAAGACTAGAAAAGTCATTTATTGCAGATGTAAAATCAACATCAGTAACGATAAATGTTAACAATAAAATAGCATCATCAACAATAACAACAAACGAGGAAAAATTAAAGATTCTTGAAAATCAAATTGCGTCCGAAGCTAAGCGCTGGTATACAAAAATCAATTGGAATCAGTGGCATAATGGACGTCCATTAAGTAACTCTAATGATACTACATGTAATAATAATACAATTGCCACGTACGAAGATCGTAAAAAATGGATGTTGAAAAATTTTCCTTTTCATTCAATCAAAGATCAATGCGAATATAAAAAATTCATAAAACAAGGTCCATTGGAATCACCAAAAAATTTCTTTTCTCGAATCGAAAAATTTATAATAGTCGAGCAAGAAGCGAACTACAAGGGCATCGATACCGAAGACTCGATAATAGAAGAAAAAATTGAAGAAATATTTATTGATGGTCTTTTGCCACCACTTCAAATCTATGTTTCACAATTAACTACTGCTGCTTTAACGTTCGGAGAACACGTGAATCGAGTTTTTCATCGATTTGCAAAAGGATTCGAGCCAAGAACTAATCGTCGTCGAATAATAAATTGGAAAGGGATTGAAGTATCTCAACATGGAGATAACGAGAATGACAAAGGTGAAAGATTCTCAAAATTTCCTGCTTTAGGTGCGGTTCTCTGCATTAAACAGGGAGCCGATGAAAGTCCTTGGGATTATTATATTCGTCTAGGCGATGCTTGTGAACATGACGGCTTGGACGTGGATAAATATCGAGTTCTTTTGTATTTTCGTGGGCTACAGCAAGAGATTCAGGATCATCCAAAAGTTTGGAATGCAAAAAATATCGAAGAACAAATCCACGCGGCACAAATATATTGGACGAGTGAGTATTGGGGTAACCGACATTACGATGCACATTTGAAATTTGCAGAAAAGGGAAACGAATACCGACAAGTAGACGACAATCAATATGATTTTTCGAAAGAGCGAATTAGTATCTTGCCTGTGAGTTTCGGTGAGGTTGATCCATTCTATTTCGACTTTATGCAACCTAATGTTGATGTTGATGCTCCTATGTTTGTGTTTCGTGGAGATTCAAGCAGGCTTTTCTAGAAATTTGTTTTATTTTTTGAATTTTGGATATTTTTTGAAATTTCAATTTACAATTTTTGATGTGACTTTTATATAATATTAATATTGCTACAGTAAGCTGTAATGGGAAGTTTTAGGGAAAGATTATAGTTAATGTCTAATACCTGTGCCGATATCTACATTGGCGTCGGTTTTTAGGATAATGTTAACAAAGTTGTTACCTTTAACGTTAAATTTCCTAAATTGACAACAAAAAGAGAATATATAATACAGTTGACACTAGCAATTCTAAAGCTCGGAAAGATTAACACATTTTATTTATCGCCAAAATAATAAATGAACAATTAAAAAAACGCATAATATTATTGAGTGCAATACATAATCATTAAATATCAACAGAATCAATCTATGAAATCTGAAGAAAATCAGAATTTATGAATATCAAAGACTTGAGATAAAAAAGATTCAGTAAATTCATATAATAATTTCATTTAAGAATAATATTTCAAATAAAACTTTATTTTTATATAGAAATATCTAACTTCCAAAAATAAAAGATCGATATAATTTTTCTGAGATAGTATTCAATAGAATTTTAAACATAATGAAAATACTGCATATTACTCTATTCAACTCTGAAAATTTCTCATAAAAACGACTTTAATTGAAATAAATAGGTGACTGTAACAGGGATGCTAACGACTCGACTCGACTAAAATTAATTTAATTTTAAAATAAAATAAAAAATATTTATTAGTAAAATATAAATATTATATATAATAAACATATTTTATTAATTATAATTAGTATAAATAAAATTAATTCTTAAAAGTTAAAAATTAATAAAAATTAATTTAATTTTCAGATAAAATAAAAAATATTTATTAGTAAAATAAAAAATTTTATATATAATAAAAAAATATATTTTATTAATTATAATTAGTAAATATTTAAATATTATATTTTTTTAATTATTATTATTTAAAAAAATTTAATTAAATTTTTACAGTCAACACGGAAAGTAATGGCGGGCATGTTTTTCGCCTATAACTTAATAAGAAATTGCTAAAAATTTACAAAAATTTGGCATTATATTCTTTAAGATGACGGAAACAAAATTTTCTAAGGTCACAAAGCGTGTTAACATAGTAATATTTTGTGGAATCACGTGCCAAAGTGGTGGGCTGGGGGGGCTACCCTGGTTAAAGTGCTATAAAAAATTATTTAAAAATATTTTTTATAAGCAAGTATGAAAATAATATTATAGAAATATATTTAAAGATATAGAAAATATATTTATAATTTAAAAAAAATTTTTAGAATAAATGCCAGACAAAAAAAGGCTTAATTTTGATAAATTTCATAATAAAATATAGTAAAATACAATAAAAATATTATTTTTATTATATTTTATTATGAAATTTAACAAAATTAAGCCTTTTTTTGACTGGCATCTATTCAATAAATATCAACTAAAAAATTTTTTTAAATTATAAATATATTTTCTATATTTTTAAATATATTTTTATAAAATTATTTTCATACTTGCTTATAAAA